TAGGGAATGGCCAATAAAACTATGGTTCAGTTGGAGTGTAATAACTAGCCTGCAAAGTTTTTATTGAAGCACATTTGTGTTAAAGAAAGCAGAATGTGGAATTGTACAAAATGCGATGATGTCAGTGAAGACCCCTCATGCCCTCCTTCCTTCCCCTCCCCCAAAAAAAGATGTAGAAGGAGGGAAACATACCAAATGTTTGTTTGGGAAGTAATAATAATATTAACACTCCTTATAAATTTATCTGTTCTGTGATCTAGTTAAGTTCAGTAGAAGTTATACAGAGAAGATTAACTGATTAGAAGTTGTCTTAGCGTAAGGAACAATTGCATTGAAAGAAATGGCCTCAGATGTTTTAGAGATGGGCAGAACATTAACGTGTAGCTCTTTAGCTAGGCCTGTGATTATTTGAGTGAGAAAAACTTTTCACTGAGATTTTACTTGGGTAGAGTGATGTTGAGCCAGTCAGTCAGTACTAACGATATTGTGCTGTTAAAAAAGACTGAGGGAATGTATGGTATACTATGGGACTTCCCTGGTGGCTCAGATGGTAAAGCATCTGCCTGCAATGCAGGAGACCTTGGGTTCGATCCCTCAGTCGGAAAGATCCTCTGGAGAAGGAATTGGCTACCCACTCCAGTTTTCTTGCCTAGAGAATCCCGTGGACACCCCCTGGTGGGCTGCAGTCCATGGGGTCACAAAGAGTCAGACACAAGTGAGTTGACTAAGCATTTACACACATGATATACTACAAAGAGAAGAAGAATTAAGGAATTTTGTAGTTTTCCATTTTGTCTCTGGAAAATTTGTTGACTGATAAATTTTCATTTTTGATAATGTGTTGTCTATAGAAAGATACAGATTGATGAGAAATCAGTAATGTTCTATATTTTATTTTAGATGGAGATTGTAAAAAGCTTCCTTCAGAAATATTTGCAGAGATAGAGACCTGTCTGAATGAGGTCAGAGATGAAATTTTTATTAGACTTCAACCTCAGCTTAGATGTACATTAGGTAAGTAATTTGTGGAATTTAACTGTATTACTCATCTACTGTAAAGACATACTTACATCATAAGGAAATACAACACTGTTTTATTACTTGGGATGATCAGATTCTTGGAAGGGAGAATCTGGGTAGAAACGTATCACTGGTTAAATCATTCAAGGATGGAGTTGTTTTATATAAATATGCACACGTGTGTTCCATGCCTTCAGAGTGGATACAGCTCTCAGAGCCAGGTCAGCACTCAGGCGTTAAACCATTGGCTGCTTCCCCTGTCCTTTCCCCCAGTAGACTACTCCAGCCACTCATCTGTTGAGTGGGGACTCATCCCAGAGGAGCCTTGTCCATAAGATCACCAGAGTGTAGACTGAGGGGCTCCCGTGTTGCATTTTGCGGCTATCAGTTCCCCCCTAGAGTGACCTGAGATGTTTTATTCAGGTTCCCTACTCCAGTTCCCAGTTGAATTTTAAAGAGTGGTTTCTTCCCCAGTCTGAATCACCACCCTGCGTATCCCTGCTCATTATAAATATTTAGAAGATTGTGTCTTGGTCTACTGCTGCCTTGGATGTGGATTTCTGTATAACAGAGAAGGGATGTCTTAAAGCTGTGCACTCATAGCAGTTGGGCAGGCATGTAGCTCTTCCGGTACAGAGGCATCCTCCCATTGTGTCTGCACTACTCAGCAGTGAGAGGGGCTATGTTAGTGCTTAAGGTCTTACTGATGAAACCTAACGTTTGCTTCTGGGAGCACATGGGAATCTTACAGTGTGTGTGTCCTCATTGTGAATATTAACATGTATTCTAAACCACTAAAGAAAGAGAAGTAGAACCCATACTGGCTTGGAATGTTGGTTGCATTTTTAAGATCAGCCAGACACTTCATCATTTTCATTACTGTTTTTTAAAAAAAACACATTGTAAGCTATCCTCTCTGCTCTCCCTCCTCACAGTTTAAGAAATATTACAACTAATACCCTTTTTGTGCTCTTTCCCAATTATTCCTTACCTCACCACAAAGGTAACTGCTATCTTCAATTTGATACTTCTTTTCCTTCATTGTATATATGTTTTCTGTTTTTGAAGGAAAAAGCCAGTATTTTAGGGTGTCTACTTATTTATGTAAGTGTAGAAAGTAAATTAGTCTTTGAGTGTTGTGTACCAGTGTCAGGATAGACAGACCAATAGAACAGAATAGAAAGTCCAGATCCAAACCTGCCCGCCCCCCACCCCACCCCCATTTAGTTTCTTCCTAACGGTGATGATTGGTTCCTGATTGGGTGGAGAAGGTGTGGGTGGGATTAGAGCCCTTCTTCACAGCATAATTAGAAAACTTCCAGTATTCACGTATTTAAAGACCTAAACATGAAAAGCAGAGTTGTAAAACTTTGGAAGAAAATATAGGTCACTACTTTACTAGAGATTGGTGACTACAGTTACATCAAAGTTTAAAACCTCTGTGTAAAGATAGCACAAAGAAATAATATCCAGGATATCTTATGAAGAATTCTTGTACATCAGTTTAAAAAAAAAAAGAAAAAACCTGATAGAAAAGTGGCCAGACACATTAATGAGCCAGTAACAGAAGAGAAAACCTGAATAGCTAGACAGCAAGGAGTCACTGAAAAGTTTGCATCCTGATGAACAAGATACTTCAGGGAAATATGCAAACTAGGTATAGATGGCCTCCATCTTTCGGTGGTCTGACTTTTGATTTTTTTTCAGTTTACAATGGTGTTAAAGAGAGAAATGCAGTCAGTAGAAACTGTGCTTTGAGTTTTGAATTATGATCTTTTCCTAGACTAGTGATAAGCCCTATGATACTCACTTGCAATGCTAGACAGTGGGAGTGAGCTGCAGCTCCCAGCCAGCCATGCGATCACAAGGGTAAACAACCGATATGCTTACAAGCATTCTGGATCCAGACCAGCATCCTGCTTTTCACGTGCAGTATAGTGTTCAATAAAATACATGAGATATCCAGTACTTTATTATAAAATAGATACTGTATTCAGTGATTTTGCCCAACGGTAGTCTAATGTTAAGTGTTTTGAGCACATTGAAGGTAGGTTGGGCTAAGCTTTGATATTTGGTAGGTTAGGAGGATTAAATGCCTTTTCAACTTAATAATATTTTCCACTTAAAAATGTATAGGTTTATTGGAAGATAACCCTGTTGTGAGTTGAGGAAGATCTATAGTTGAGCTGGAGTTGGGCTTAAGGCAGTAGAGATAGAGAAACCACTTAATTTAGACAGGAGGTTATCAAAATTAGAAATAAGCTTTGGTATTGTATGTTTCTCTAGTAGGATGCTTTAGAAAGCTAAAACTGATAATCAAATGAAAAATAATTAAGATCATTTTAGGAGCTATGTACATTACCTAAAATGGTCTGTAATCATACAACTTATTCAATTGTGTTTTGAGCTCTTTTGTGATATTTTGATTTGTTGAGAACTATGTATTTTTTCGAGCTAAAGATTATGTTGTCATAATGTAGTATAAATTATTTACTTTTTCACTTGATATTAGTTTCAACAGAGTAAGTGTTTAAAGGCTGATAACTAATTACAAAGTCATGCTATACTACACACTCTATGCATATGATGTTCATTTTTAGGAGATTAATTTGTTATTTCTTTCTGTTTATGAAAAGCATTTTGTTTTGGATCTCTGTTGTTTTACAAAAATAGCAGTGGGACTGTAAAATAGCCTTGGTGACCACTGACACTGATAGGGTGATGCCTAAGAGCGCTGACTCTGAGGCAGGAAGACCCACCGTCCTGCCTTTCAGCGCGTCTGGGATGGCTCTTCTCGCCACGTCCCAGACGACTGTAGTGCAGGCTGGGGAGAAGCGAATGTCGGCAGTGAGGCTGTCCCTGGGGGGGAGGCAGTGGCAGGGCTCGGATTAGTCCTTGGGCCAAGTCAGTCCGGCAGCATCTAAGCTCCCCGGAGGACAGAAAGGAGGGAAAGCAATTGGAGGATGAATGTGAGGAGAATCTAAATCCTCCTCCTAACGTGCTGCTCTCCAAGTTGGAAGACAGAATCCACAGTTCAGCTTTTGTTTTAATGACAACAAAATTCAGATGTTCTTTAGTTTTAAAGTTGTTGAAGTTTAATTGTTAAAAGATTAAGAAGAGTAGTGGCTGAGGAGTCTGGTCCTCTGAGCCTGGTGCGTCATGCCCTTACCACTCTGTAGAACAAGAGAGTCAGAGTAGAGTTGGCCTTTTGTCCAACTCGGAAAGTATTATCCTACACTGTTTCTCCAGTTATATTATTTTTAGCATCTGTACCAAACAAATGTATATATTTTTGCTTTGTTTTTATGATGCTTTAGAACTGTCACAGTTCTGAGCATTTCTTTTTTCCCCAAGAAAAGCTTATCTAGGGGGCCCTATGAGTCTTCTGTATCTTTGTCTAGGTGTTTTCATAAGTGTCACCAAGACAAATGAAAGATAGTGTTAATTAAAATGATGGACATTTTTAGAAAGTGCTTCGAAAACTTCTCTTGCCCAACTGTGAATAACTTACTCTGTCATATATACGTATTCCCATATATTCATACTGTGAATATAGTGAGAAAAGATGACAGTTTGTAATTTTTTTTCAGTTCATTATGAGCAATAATTTTTCTTTTTCTTCTTCAAGGTGATATGGAAAGCCCTGTGTTTGCATTTCCCCTGCTCTTAAAAATAGAACCCCACATTGAACAGCTCTTCACATACTCTTTTTCTTGGAATTTTGAATGTTCACACTGTGGGCACAAGTATCAAAACAGGTTAGTGTTTCTATTTTCTTTAATGGATTCATTCTGTTGAAAATGTCTCCAAGTAGTGAAATATGAAGAAAACTTGCTTCCACTTGTAGCATTGCTGTCTTTACCCTTGATAAAATTTCCTTTTGTATATTAAAGTTTCTCCACCGCTAAGATTAAAAGGAAGCAGTTGAGCCCCAGAAACTGCATTATTTACTTGCTTTTTCATACTAAAAGAGTACCGATAATAATAATAAATAAATGGTTTGATAGATTACTAGAAGGGATTTTGTTAAGAAGTTCTTTAGTGGGAAGTGGGGACTAATGGTGAAGTAGCACAGTCCCCTGCCTCCCTCACTTCCCCTGGATTCCCTGCTGAGTAAGTACATCTCTTAGAATTCTTTGCAAAACCATATGTGTTTTGTTTATTCCTCTATTAGAGACTAGGGCTTTTGTTTTCTTGTTTTCAACATTGTGGAAACTTGATTTTAGGCTCCCAGAGTCTGGCAGCAGATCTTAGAGGTAACTTATGCTCTCCCATTCCTTCCCTTAGTCCTATGAAAGACCAGCCACCACCAGAATCCTTCTACACGTGAACTGTCTCAGCCATGCTTTCTACTTCCCTGCTGCCTCTAGGTGAGGATTAGAGAGATCACGATTGTTGTACATGACCCTGAGATTGGTACTCAGGACGAAACATGGAGAAGAAAGAACCTGCAAAGTTATTTTGCTTCCATACACCTACCATATTAAAAAAAAAAATAGAGAAATTAGGTTTTGGAAGAGGAGTCAGGGAGAGAAAATTTATCAGACACAACACCCTTGCTATGTCCACATATGAGAAAGTCACTGGCTGGCTGGCAGTTAAGATATGACCATGCTGGTTCTGTTGGTCATTTATACTGTTATAATGGAGGTAAATCCTTTCCTCTTTTCTTGAATTCATCTGTTAGTAAACTAGAAAATTTGGAGTCTCCAAGTTATTGAATAAATGTATATGAAAAAATACTACTTTAAATATTCATTATCTTAATTGAGACTATTTTCAGGTATTTAGGGATTAGTCAAGGAGAGCTGAGTGTGAGAGAATGCTCTAGGAAATCCAAACTGTAGAAGGAGAAAGCTTTTTTTTTTTTTTTAAATCAGTTAAGTCAAAAGGACTAGAACAGAGTTCAGTTCAGTCACTCAGTCATATCCGACTCTTTGTGACCCTGTGGACTGCAGCACACCAGGCTTCCCTGTCTGTCAGGGAACAGAGTAAGACAGCATTTCACTCATACCTAGGACTTAAGTAACTTTGTGTGAGTATTAGAACAAACATCTGTTTCTAGGTCTTCTGGCATTGAGTTTTATAAATTATCTGACTTGCTCCTCGTTTGACATGTATGGAAACTGAAACTTGTAAGGGGTTAAATTGATGCCTGAGGTGACAGACTAGTAAGTGAAACAACTCAGGCTTAGGTTTTCTGTTCCCTCAGACTTTTCCTGCTCGCTGAGACATGCTGCCTAATCTCCACCTGGGTCTTAAATAATATAAATAACAGAAACATGCCTGAAGATGACAGTCAACTTGATGATAGCTTTTCCAGAATCTGTATCTCAGTTGTTTGACAGCTTTTCACTGAGCATATTCTCTGTGCCAGGAACTCAGCAGAAATCATCTTTATTCTGGCCAAATTCAGACAGTTAGTTAGGGAAGTAACATGGAAACATAACAGAGGGCCAGTGACTTAGCAGTTATTTTGATCTGTTGGCTTTGAATACAAAGTGAAAAGTGCATTTTGGAGCTGTATAGAAAAACTCTTGAGAGCTCAAGGGAAAGAATCATCCAATCACTTAACCCCTCTCTTTTTTTTCGGTTAAAGTTTTTTGCTCTAAAAGTAAAAGTAGTTCGAGGGGGGAAGCTTAAAATGAAGTGGCATTTCATTGAAACTTACTTTCACTTAATCTGGTGGAAGAATATCAGCAAACTCATTCATTTGTATGCTGCTGTTTTTAGTGCTAGTGTAAGAGCTTTTGACTTGATTCAGAAGATAGTTTCTGCAGGCAGTTAAAAACCTTGGAGTTGGGCTCCCTGAACTCATTTCATGTCTGTTGGGTTTATCATCTGATGTGTCTCATTTGCCTTATCCCTAAAATGGGGATGAAAAGAGCACCTGCCACAGGGATGTTTTGGTAGATGAGTGTTTGGCTCAGTGCCTTATATGTAGTACGTGCTAAGGAATGTGAGATGTCATGTGGAGCATTAATGCTTATTTGCTGAGACAAACTCCCTTTTATTAATGAAAAATAGGAGCCTTTATTTAATATTTATCTTCGGAAACTGAGAATATAGCAGAAATAACAGTCAGTGCATTTGTTGATACCTTTATGTGTCTTTGCCTTTAAAATGTTAGCTTCCCTGAGAATTGATCTCTTTGTAACAGCCTGTGCTTACCTCACACGTAAGTTATTTAAGTTATTTATAAAAGAAGGGTGGTGTCTCTTAGATAATAAATAATTGCTCTTTTAAAGATACTGTTAATCGAGTTGAATTCTATTGTGCATCTGTAAACATCATGTTTGCAGATGCCATTGCTATCAAATATTCAGGCTTAAGTGCAAAATTTAGAACTCATATAAACTGTGGAAACCTAATGTTTTCACAACTGATATTCTTATATTTTAAGTATCAAAATAATTAAGTTGTTGCTATTCCTGAATATGTTTTTGTAAGTGCCCCTTTTCATTTTTGGTTGTTAGTAACAGATAGCCAGATGGTGAATTTTTCGAGTAAGGATGAACTCTTAATACATTTGAAAGCCTTAAAGCAGTGGCCCTTCACTCGGGGCTCTTTCCTGCCCCATGGGGATGTTTGGCAGTGTCTGGAGATAGCTAGTTGCTGCAGCTGGAGGCTCTTATGGCCTCTTGTGTATAGAGAGGCCAGGAATGAGGCCCAACATCCTCCAGTGCACAGGTCAGTGCCCTCCAGCAAAGAATAACCCAGTGCAAAATACATAGCAGCGGTATTACCCTTGAGAAACCCTGCCTTTAACATTTTCACCTCATAGCTGAGAAACTATAGATAATTAATATGGAGAGTTCTTACAGAGAACTTTACTAGGGTAGGGTTAGGAAAGAACATTTACATAGGTTTGCAGGAATAGGAAAGTATGAATAAATAAAGGAAAGTGCCTTCTGTTTTAGACATTGATTTAAGGTAACATGAATGAATTTAACTTAATCAAAATTATGTCTTTTTTTTTTTTTTTTAATAGATATATGAAGAATCTGGTCACCTTTACAAATGTCATCCCTGAGTGGCACCCACTCAAGGCTGCCCATTTTGGTCCGTGTAACAATTGCAACAATAAGTCACAAATAAGAAAAATGGTATTAGAAAAGTGAGTTTAAATTGCCTTACTATTTTTAGAACAAAGTGAATGTGGATTTACTTTTTTTTTTTCCAGTGTGTAGTATTGAAAGTGATGACTGCAACCTGCTTTTCAGAAGTTTGAGTTAACATAGGTTTATGAATTGCCAAAGTGCTTCTCTCTGTCAGGAGCTCTGGTAAGCTGTTCAAGTGACACACCACTGCAGAGCTGACTTAGGGTAATTATCTTTCTCCACACCTACTATCTCTTCTCCTTTTTTTCTTTGTCTTCTCTCTCTTTTTAAGCTTATTAAACTTCCATTTTCTTCACCTCTATCAAGTGCCTGGAGTCATTAGAATTCTGGGATTTCCTTAACCTGATTTCAAGAATTAAGATGATTCAAAATGAGCCATAGACTCATCTGTCTGAGTTTCCATCTTGTCCCAGACTTCAGCGTGCTAATTCTTCATCCTTCTGTAAGCTTTCTGCTGGCCTTGAGCAGATGTATCTTCATTGTATATCACCAACCCTTCTGTTTTTCCTCAGTGGTCGGACTGATCAGAATTTTCTTTTTTAGTGTTATCAGAAGCCCCATCTCTGTAAAAACTCACAGATCAGTTCCACGTTCGGAGAAGGCAGTGGCACCCCACTCCAGTACTCTTGCCTGGGCGGAGGAGCCTGGTGGGCTGTAGTCCATGGAATCGCGAAGAGTCAGACACGACTGAACGACTTCAATTTCACTTTTTACTCTCATGCATTGGAGAGGGAAATGGCAACCCACTCCAGTATTCTTGCCTGGAGAATCCCAGGGACAGAGGAGTCTGGTAGGCCACCGTCTCTGGGGTCGCAAAGAGTCGGACACGACTGAAGTGACTTAGCAGCAGCAGCAGCAATTCCACATTAGGCAGTTTCTCTCTTTTTGTTAATACGCTTACACACGTACCTCCTCTGTAACTTTGTCCCTACATAAAGGACATGTTTTGAGGTTTCATTTGATATAGTAAAGAACCAGTGACATTAACCTTCTCCTCCCTTTTTCCGATGGCCTTGGATGTGCCAAGAAATCTCTCAGAACCTTTCCTAAAGGTTTGCTTTCATACAAGTAACAAAATCTCAGGTAATCTACTAGTGCCAAGACCTAAAAGGAGAAAAGAACAGCGCCCCTCCTAGTCCATCTCCAAGCACCTGCTTTAAACTTTTAAGGTAGCATTCACTTTGACATTTCAGTACAGTGTACCTTTGCCACCTTTATACAGTCTTCTCCTTTTAAAATAATTGAGGGCTGGCGCGCTCTCACCATCACCTGGGCCCCACCTGTGTTTAACCTCTCCCTGTTCTTCCAATATGACTACATTTTTTGGTTAAATCAGTACTTCATTTTTTATTAGTATACTTATATTCCTTCTCCTGCCAAGGAGTATATGTGGTTATGTTTCATCTCTTTCATAGCTCTTTATTCTTCCTAGAGTTATTGATTGCTTGTGTTTTCATTTGCTTTGTTATATATGCATTGTGAATTTTCTCCAAATTCTTTAAATGCCCATTAATTTTCTAAACACGCAAATGCTTCAAAATTTTTAAGTTCTCCTCCCCACTTTTGTCATCGCAGATCAATATGTGGCAAAAAACAGAGTTTATTGACATAGACAGTTTTGCAGGACTTTTTATTCATAGGTACATAAAGACTGGATTATTCTCGAATAGAAAGATTGACAAGGGATAATTTACAAATTATCCCAAATTATCCCTTGTCAGTTTGGATAATCTACATTTTTGGACACTGATTCAAGTTTATTTCAGCTGAATAAATGTTGATAAGCTAAGTAAGTTTTGACATCTGTTTAAATATTGGGGAAAGAGATATTCAACATTTTTTTGTAAATCCTGAAAGTTCTCTTAAATTTAGTTATTTAAGGCCTATTGTGGGTTCTGTTCTCTGGTTTGTCATGTTACTGTAGTAATGTATTTTTGAAATTACAGATGTTTTGAAATTTATAGTAAATCAGTATATTATCTTTTCTACTTCCTTAGAAGTAAACTTTTTGTAAGTAGAATTTTAACTTGATGGGTCTGTCTACTTCCTGAGAAAACAGAGAAATAGGCCAAATTATATCAGCTTATTCGATTTTTTAAAATGTTTATTTGAATATCTTAGGTTTGTTATTTTGTTTCTCATATTACCTGTCCCATCTAACAAAAAAGCAGTTAATTTGGGCACTTGGTGCCAAAGAAAATTCTCAAAGGTCTAGATTTTTTCTTTTGATTCTGTGAAGAAGTTTTCAAGGGATCTTCTGTAAGCCAAAGCGGTGTTGTGGCTTACAGAGCAAGTTTTGTTTAATGGCCTGTGTTAGAGCTTTACTGCTTGATGGCCTCCAACTGTCAGTGACACCATTCTGAGAAGGGTGTAGTGTTACACACGTCTTCGAATGAGTTCTCCATTTCTAATTAAGGCACACATCTGGAGGTTCTCAAGAAAAAGCAGTGCAGTTGGCCTTGGAAGTGTTCCGTGTGACTCACTTGCCTCAGACCATCTTTTGTGCAGCTAGACACATGGCATCACATTCTTTTGACTTCTCTTGCCTTTCTTTCCTACAGAGTCTCTCTCGTATTCATGTTGCACTTTGTGGAAGGCTTACCCCATAATGACTTGCAGCGCTATTCATTTCATTCTGAAGGCTGTCTTTATCAAGTAACCTCTGTAATTCAGTACCAAGCAAATAATCATTTTATAACATGGATTTTAGATGCTGATGGTAAGTGCTTTAACATTTTTCTTTTATGATAATAGGCATAGGGACTGAACTCTAGTTTGTTGTTCTTTTAAGACAAACGTTGCCTTGACATTCTTTTCTCTCTTCTCGTCCTTGCCTGTTACAACCCCACCCTCTACCTTATCACCCTGCTTTAGAATACACTCCTCATGGCTGCCTTTCCTTGTTTATATCAGCGTGTTTATGAGTATACACATGCATATGCATATTGATTTTTTAAACAGAGATTGAGGTGAGAGACTACTGTTGGTTTATAGTTTGCTGTTTTTCACTGAATGTTCTTCCTGGGGGTAGTTTGGATACATATCACAATATGCTTATAAAGCACTTTGCAAATGGAAACTCATAAATATAGATATTACCTTAAAGTTTTACCCTACTTCAAAATTTAGGGGGACATTAGTTCTCAATAACTTAAAAAAAACTTTGAAAAAAAATTTTAGTTTTCTAATTGCATTTTACAGAATGAAAAATCCTCTTCGGAGAGAAGAGGTAGGGTGTTTTCCAACTTTGACAAATATATAAAAATTGTATGGTTAGCTTATAAAAAATGTCCTGGCTCTTCTCTAGAGCAGTGAATCAGTCTCTGAGGGTTCAGCCCAAGTAGTAATCAGATGGTTCTAACATATGTGTGTGGTAGCGATCCACTGACCTAGGCAAAGAAAATATTCTTAAAGTTTTAATGGGTATAGGATAAGAAGTAGTGGGTTCAGATTGTTTATAAGACTGTATCGATATAAACTTATTTAGCAGATAGTTTTGTTTGGGATTTTTTGGTGTTTTAGAGGGGGTATTTAATGTCTTTCCCTGTCATTGATCATCTCATCCCTACTTGACAAATGAGAAAACAGGAGCTCAGAAATTAAAGAGCAGACACCCAAAAACCTAAGCTTTTATTTTTTTCCTAACTGCCCCCCCCACCAATAAAATAATCAAATTAAGTGTTGATACTTGAGGTAACAAGCTTCATTTATCTTGAAAATTCATATATATGAAAAACTTAATCTATTTTCTGATAGATATATTAGGTAATACTGTACTCTCAATTCCAGAAGTTAAAGATACTTCTGTCTTGATTTTTATGAGCATTTTAGAAAAGAGTAAACACTGCCTCATTTTTTCACATTTCTGCGTGTTAGTCCATAACTTTTGTTATCCAAATCCAAGGACTTGACATTCAGCAGAGAAAAATGGTGACATAAGGATAAGTCCATGTTTTCAAGTTCTCTTTTGGTAGGTATTCAGTAATAATAGCAGTTAAAAAGGCCAAAAGAAAGTTAACCTAGGATAGTCGTCTGTTCGAATGTCTCACCTCTTTCACTTTCACTCCCCATTCCCCAGGAAGTTGGCTAGAATGTGATGACTTAAAAGGCCTGTGTTCTGAAAGGCATGAGACATTTCAGGTTCCTGCTTTGGAGATACATATTGTTATTTGGGAAAGAAAAATATCCCAGATGACAGATAAAGCATCTGCCTGCCATCCACTTAAAAAGACTAGTGACCAGTACACTTTCGGCGATGAGAAGCAAGCGTCTCCAGCAGCATGTTCTGCAGGCAAAGCTGCCTTAGCTGAACCGTCCTCAGGAACACATCCCACAGGTGTGTCCATGGTTCCTAATACCCTCTCACAGGATGAAGCTGTAGCTCCTGGACATCATTCCCTTCCAGATCTGAAAGGTTCAGTTGACAGCAGTATCTTACCTTTGACACATGAAGAAGTACAGTCCAACTCTGAAGGTTTTTTATTAGAACACAAACCTGTGGCAGAAAATACAGGGGTTGTTGAAGCAAACACTTTGCAGTCAGAGGAGCCACTCACAGCTCTTTTAGTGGCCCCATCCGAGGACAAGTTTACCCACAACCAGTCTATGGATTTAAGCTTTTCATCCCAACTGTTAACTATGCCATCTGTACAAGTGACTACAGAAGATGCTGTAGTTACTCAGCCTGTGGATGATACTCATGCTGCTGACCTTACACAGCAAGTAAAGTCAGTTGACACTGAGGGCAGAGTTGCCCTAGAGAGGAATGCTTCATTGAAACAATTTCTTGCACCAGAAACTGAGAAGTTAAATCCAGAACAGCATGTTACATCTCAGGTATCTGATTGGAAGGAAAAAGAAACCACAGCATTTTCTCAAACTGTAACAGCTAAGCCGTTACAGAATCCACCTCTGAAAGAGAATCAGAAGAAACCATTTGTGGGAAGTTGGGTTAAAGGCTTATTAAGCAAGGGTGTTTCTTTTATGCCATCTTGTGTTTCAGCTCATAACAGAAACACTGTGACTGATTTGCAGCCTTCAGTTAAGGGGGCAAGTAATTTTGGTGGCTTTAAAACTAAAGGTTCAAGACAAAAGGCCAGCCAGGCCTCCAGGAAAGCTCACAGGAGGGCAGCCAAGCCGCCTCTGGTGAGTAACTCTCCTCCAAGCCATCAGTCACCAGCCAGCACAGCTTCCCCTCCCCGCGCTGATGGCACTGGTGATTTGGAAGTTTTGAAGAGATGTGAAAGCACCTCCTGTGGAGCTCACCTCAACCACAATTCTCATGGAAATGAAAATGGTGTTTCTTCACCAAACCATGGAGACACAGTTGAGGGTCAGATTCATAAACTCCGTCTAAAACTTCTTAAAAAACTTAAGGCAAAAAAGAAGAAATTAGCTGCTCTGATGTCTTCCCCCCAGAACGGAACACTTCCAAGTGAACCTTCAGAACAGGTATCCCATTGTGGGTCTCCAAATGGCAGTGAGTCAATAGAAGGCTTGCTGCAAGAACTGCAGCGTCAAATTGACATTGCCGATAATAAATCAGGGTGTGCCACAGCTCCCGGTGTTTCCCCATACGGCGGTCAGACGCACGAAGAAATTCTAGCAGAATTACTGTCCCCCACCAGTGTGGTTTCAACAGAGCTTTCAGAAAACGGGGAGGCTGACTTCACATATTTAGAAATGGGAGATAGTCTCAACCCGGCACCAGTTCCCAATGGATTAAACAGTATTCCCCACAACACACATCTGAGGCAGGAGCATAATTACTGTAGCCCCACCAAGAAAAACCAGAGTGAACTTCAGCCATATTCACTCACAAATAATGCCTCTATTAGAACATTGAACTCGGAAAGTCCCATGAAGACTGATATCTTTGATGAGTTTTTTTCTGCTTCAGCGTTTAATTCTTTAGCAAATGATGCATTAGACTTACCTCATTTTGATGAATATTTGTTTGAGAATTGTTGAGTGCTTTTGGCTCTTTTTAGTTTAATATTTATTACTACTCTTGGAAAAATGTACTGTATTTCTAGGTAATGTTTGACACACTGGCCTTGTCACGAACAAAATGTAAGCTACTGAAGGTTTTACCTCTCCAGTATTCTTACCTGAAGAATCCCATGGACAGAGGAGCCTGGCGGGCTACAGTCATGGGGTTGCAGAGTCGGACATGACCGAGGCGACTTAGCAGTAGTAGCGGCATGCCTGTGAAACCTGTGATCTATTTTATAAGTTTAAAAGATGATGAATGTGTTCTCCTTTTTGGCTTCATTTTGTGGTTGTAGGTGAATGAGGATTTGAAAATGTTAAAAATGAAAAGTAGTGTATAGTTTCTAGCAATTTGTACAGTTGGGTACACTGAATTTCTACATTTCAAATTTTAGTTTCGTTGGTTCAGGAAAAACACTAGTTGATACAAAAGTGACTGTATATGGTATGTGAACATGTGACTGTTTTTGCTAGTGGTGCTGTGGTCTTAGATAAGAGCCTAAGCATGTTTCTTGTACCAGTAGAGTGGTATAGAATGTAAACTTCCCCTCCATACAATTTGTCTCCTCTTTCTGTCCTTAAGATGGCAGGAAACTTGTAACTAGAATGTTGCATAATGTTGTGATAAAAAAATGATCTGTAAAAGGAAAAAGTAATGTATGTTTGTGTTGATGTGCTAAGAGATTATAAGTATCATCTTTCTCCCCTAAGACACTTATTTCTGTAGCCAAAGTGGAACACACCATCTAATAGTTATGCTTTGGCAGAAATAGCCAGTACATGTAAGGCTTGCATATGTTGGGTTCTATTATAAATGAAATGTTAATTCATTTAAACCTCAACGTTCCTATGAGCAGAGTACTCTTAACCACCTTTGACAGTTAAGGAAACGCCATTGAGCTAATAAGTTGTAGAGCTGGGAATGAGTAGAGTGGTCACTACCGCAGTAAGAGGTGCAGAACTCACATGTTCCACCTGTAGCTTCCTTTAAACTCCGGGTGCCCAAACAGCACCTCCTGCTGTATTGATTTGAATTAGTAGCAGAGTTACCAAGGTTTAAGAGTGGCCATCTTGGGGAAAGAATACTTTGCTAGGGATTCAGAACTTCAGAATTGATTCATCAAATTTACTTCCAAACCTCCCTCCCTTCCCTTTTTTCTGATTCCAAAAGTGACACGTGTTTATTATAAGGGAAAACACAAGAAAACACCAAGATTTCAGAGTATTCATCTTAACATTTAGTGATAATAACTACTGCAGACATTTTCATGTTTTTATGCATTTAGACTTTTAAGAAATAAAAGCTTCTGTTGTGCCTGTTTGTTAATGATCTGTGTTCATGTTTAATGAGCATTTTTTCCCATCTTTAGTTTTTGACACCTTTCGGATAGCTACATAATGTTACATTGTATTACCACTGTTTCATCAATTTATATTTTGAAGTGATTTGTACTGTTTTGTTCTTGTTAATTATACTTATTGACAAAAATTTTCACAGGTCCGGGTTTTATTTTCTGGGAGTGGAATTGCTGGGTCGAAGAATATGCACTTTTATTTTTGGCCTTTTAATAATGACTTGAGTCGTTTTGCTGAATCCTCATCAGCTCCAGAAAGTAGCATTGGGCGGGGGAGGGAGAACCTTGGCTGATTTTGGTTACCTTTCCATGGTGACTAGTGAGGCTGAATATTTTCTGTAACTCTTAGCCATTTGAGTGTCTTTGAGGCATTGCTTATCCATCCTTTACTTGTTATTAATTATTCATTCAAATATTTCTAGGTTTCTGCTGAATGTCAAGCATTCTTGTAAACCTCAGATATAAGGCAATAAAAAAATAATAAAAGGAAATTTTTGCCTTTCAGTCATTTGCCTTTTAAACAAGAACGTTAATCTATAATGTTAGGTGGCAATAGGAAATAGATATGGTTGACTCTTGTTATTTGATAGTTCTGTAAAGTTGCCGTGAACACTGCAGTAACAATTACTGAGCCACTGCTCCTGGTGGGAATACAGTTAGGTTCCTGTGAACCTCTGCTCACAACATCTTCATCATTTGATCAACAAATGATGTTTCTTGTGTCTTTCTGTTTAAAAATACCTTATATAATAGATATTATTGCTTCACTAACGTTGATCACAGGGCCAGCAGTGCTATAGGTCATGCCTGAATGGAGCTTGTCCCATACACATATTTTCCGCCATAAGGCGCATCACAACTTCTTTGAGCTTGGGAACAGGAGATAGGACTTGAACACCACACTTCAGGGCTCTTTTAAACCACAAAATAACCAACAAAACACAAAAAAATGTCCATAAGACATTGAGTCCATGCCAGCAGTCCTTGAAGTCTGGTCCTATCCAAGATGTCCATGAGCATGTTCAGTTCACGCCAAGGTCCATTGAGGACCTTGTAGCACAGACCAGATGTTCTGCAAAATCTCTTCAGATTTTTCAGTGCTGTGTACACATCCACAAATGACCACAAAAGCACTACAGGTATTGATTTTTAGGGTTACAAATTTTAGCAAGTAGGCAAATTCAGAAATACTAATAAATTGATTAATGTCAGTACTAAATGCTATGAAGAAAACTGAGATGAGTGATGAGAGGATTATTTTTAGACCAGGTGGACTTGGAGAGGGGTGACATTTGAGCAGGTCTTAGTGAAGTTAGGGAATTGACCACGTGACTGAACGAAGGGCGTTATCCAGGAAGAACAAAAGCCCTGAGGCGTGAGGGTGCTTAGCATGGTTGAGAACAGGGAAGAGGCCAGTGTGAACAGAGGGAGCAAGGGAAAGAAAATTAGAACATCGGGTTAAAGAGGTTGGCAGAAACCAGATCAGATATGATCCCTGAGACTTGACAGGAAGCCACCAGAAGTTTCCAGACAAGGGAATGTCAAGGGAGGTTTTTAAGATCACTGACTACAGTTGTCAGAATGGAAGTGCTAGTTTGCGCTGTCTCAGTTCAGACAGCTGTGGAGGTGATAAATAGCTGGACCACTGTTGCATTTCAGAGGCGGAGCCAACAGGTGGACTTGATGGTTAACTGGGAGGTAGAAAGAGGATGCAAAGGGAGCTCAGATTTCATTGCCTGAACACATGGGTGGTTCTGTCTACTGAGATGAGACGAATTCAGAAAGGAAAACCTTTTAAGGAAAGAATTCATTCAATTTTGGATGCATTCCCTTTCCTGGGTTATCAGAAGATAGGGTCTCCTAGCCGGGAAGGCAAAACATCTGTGGTCGCGGGAACTGTAATCATTGATGTGCATGTCCAGGAAGTGCCAAAACTGAAGGTGTGTGCTCTGCGAGTGAGCAGCTGCACCTGGAGTCGTATCCTCAAGGCCAGGGAGCAAGATCCTCACCTTCAACCGGCTGGCCCTGGACTCCCCTAAGGGCTATGGCATTGTCCTCCTCTCTGGTCCTCAAGAGTGGAGAGAGGTGTACAGGCATTTCGGCAAGGCCCCAGGAACCCTGCAGAGCCACACCAAACCCTTTGTACACTCCAAGGGCTGGAAGTTGGAGCGCAGCAGAGGCCAACTGTGGCTATAAAAACTAACCCCCGACTCTACTTCGTTCTTCAAAAGATTTTGGATGCTAAGAAAAAAGGGATGCATTAAGTGTAAGATTCCTATTAGACTTCCAAGTGGGGAGAATAGGAAAGTGGATCTACAGCACTGGGGCTCGAGAGAGGACCGCTGGAGATACCCATCTAGGAATGAAGAGTGCACGGATCCTATTTGATGCCATGATGTAGTGCCTGCCTGCTAAGCCGCTTCAGTCATGTCCGACTCTGAAACCCTATGGACTGCAGCCCGCCAGGCTTCTCTGTCCATGGGATTCTCCAGGCAAGAGTACTGGAGTGGGTTGCCATGCCTTCCTCTAGGGAATCTTCCCAACCAACCCAGGGATTGAACCATCTCTTCTGTCTGCTGCATTGGCAGGCAGGTTCTTTACCCCAGCACCACCTGGAGGGTGGGGTCATTTAGGGAGTTAAAACAGCTCCGGGGAAAGAAGAGGGGCATTTAGGAGGAAAACCAGATGAGTGGTGTCCTGAAAATCAAGGGAGGAACTGTCAAGGGAAGGCTGCTGACTTGCCAGGTGCCGCTGAGCAGTAGAGAAACATGAAGACCAAGACCTGACATTGGCCTTGGTACCGGGGCTGCCCTTGGTATCTTAGCCAGGACAGTTCAGTGCAGCTGTGAGGACAAGAGTGAATGGGTTCAAGCGAGAAGGGACGGTGAGAAAGGGCAGATAGACATGCCATTCTTTTGAACCATTTGCTTGACACCTGGTGGGGGAATGCAAGGTCAAGGTTTTTCTTGTTTTTAAAGTGGGAGATGTTATCACATGTTTAAGTGAGAGCTCAAGTGCTCCAGAAAGACAAATGGATGTTGTAAATGAGAGAAGGGACAATTGCAGGAGCAGATTTCTCTGGGATGAGATCCAAGATCGGAAGAGGGTGTGACCCTAAGAGCTAGAAGAGTTTATCCATTTTAGTACCAGAGAAAACAAAGTATATAGGTACTGTCATCAGAAGATTTGAAGATTCGGGGATGAGGAAGGTCTTGTGATTCTTTTCTCGAGGAGACAGTAAAAGCTGCGGGCCTGAGGGGGGAAAGAGTTGAAGATGGAAAAAGATTTGAGTCTCCGGTGCTAAATGAACAGGCCCATGCAGTAGGCTCGCTAGGCAGTGCTCAGAACCCTCCAGAAGTCTACAGTTGTAAACTCTACTGAGACCAGCGAAAATGGTTGTTTATTTTTCTCCGACTGTGTGTGCGGCTCGGGTGCAGGACTGAGAGTAGATGGGAAGTTAAAGAGTTAGCTGAAGTTAGAGGCTTTGTCGGACAAAGAGTTCAGGTTTTAGGCAAGAACATGATTATAGTAAAGGATAAGGAGGGAGGGTTAGGAGGGACATGGGATAAGGGATGGTCATTCAAAAAGCGGTGGCAAACCTCCATGGACTGGAGGTGGGTTCAGAGAATGCCGGAGTGGGACTCATGGAGGAAGTAAGCTGGTTAGAAAGTGGTGTGCTTGAACCTTAGCTTTCAGACACAGCGCACTGATCTGTGATGACAGGGTCTGAAGGATGACAAGGGAGGTGCAAGGCCAAGGTTGGGTGAGGAGCTGAGGAAAAGTGAGGAGACACAGGAACCAGGAGGCCAAGATGGTGTATGGATAGTCTGTGTAGCTGGTAGAGGCATCTAAATGGTAGCCTGTCTTTCTGGCCCTCTTTTTGCTTTTTACCTCCAGGAGATCCTCACCCCCCTTTCTTCCATCCATGTTCCCTCAAGAAGCACAAAAGACACAGGTGGCTGACAGGTACACCAAGACATTTCTGAGTAAAGCAGACTCACAAAAGGCACTTATTGAATAACTTCTTCACAACAGCCAAGTGCCAAAGTGACAAGGAATCTGGTACTGGAGAAGTTTAATCAGGAGATTAAATGTAACCAAGAAGCAAGAAGTCATTGGGAGAAAAGAGGTTCCTATGAAATACTTCAAATCTCAAAATGAAAATCATTTTCTGTTTAGTTACTGCAGGCACTTAATAACTGGGTCAAGCACCCTTCTTGCCAGTTTTTATTATAACCTTCCCACTGGGTTTGGAAGCAGAGACGATCTACATATGCTGAGAAGTTCAAGTGTGTCTACAGCTCACCTGATATTTAAAGCTCCCCCAAGGCCCAAGATGACATAAGCCAGGCCTATTCAGAAGGATGGCAAAATGTTTGATTTGTAATCTGGAGTCCCACGGATACAGACCTTGTCGTTACCATAAAGCATCTCCGTGGATGGTCATTAATAGAAAAATTCTATCTTTAAAACTTTAATAATTCTATATTGAGTTCTTATCCATTGCAGATTGTCACCTCTGTAGTAGTATTATAGTGAATTCCAATTATCAGGTCGGCCTATATATGCTAGTACAAGTAAATATATTAGATAATGAAATACAAACTATCATTACACTCAACATGTGCATATAATAATCTATGCTCTACTTTTTCAGCTTATTACTAAGGCAGTTGAGGATCTCCTTAAAGTGTGTATTTGATTTACTTGTTTCGGAATAACTAGTTTGAGTCATCTTTGACAGACAATAGTTTTTGGTTTGTTTTTACTACAAAAAAAAAAAAAAAAAGGCTCAATTTCTACAGCAAATATGACAGTTTGCTGGGAGTCATTAAAGTAACTCCCAAGGAAAGAAATGTAAATTGGTATCTGGTGGTGGTGTAAATCCCTACAGAAGGGACCCTGAAAGCGTCAGTATATTAAAACCCTTCACAGAGTACATCCAGTGGTTCCAGAGTGTTAACAATAAAACATGCATGCTCAGTCATGTCCGACTCTTTGTGATCCTATGGACTGTAGGTGGCCCACCAGGCTCCTCTGTCCATGGAATTTCCCCAGGAAGAATACTGGAGTGGGTCACCATGCCCTCCTCAAAGGGATCTTCCTGACCCTGGGATCAAACCCGCATCTCCTGCGTTGGCAGGCAGATTCTTTATCCCTGAAGCATCTGGGAAGCCCCACCAATAAAACATTAAGTGTTAAAACCTCAAGGCAGCTCTTTTTGTCTCAAGTCCTTTATTACTAATTTTACAAATGTACTTAATTTCTCAGCAAGGAAAAAATAAAGGAACTGGCTTCTCTTTGTGACTTGTCAATACTATTAGACTCTTCTAATTCTTTGTGTTACCTTAAAATCTTCAGTTTAGTAACTTTTCCATACCTAAACATTTTGGATTTGGCATGCTTTATGACTTTTATCAGTAATTAGAATACAAATTGAATAAAATACAAAACAGGGCCAAGAACCTGCTCCAGAGGCTCTGTGT